TTCACTCCCTCCACCAACGACGCTCAGTAGCAGCAATGTGTACTATCTATAAGATGCACTGTAGAAATTCACCAGAGATCCTGGGACAGCACCTTACAAACCCACGACCACTTCCATCAAGAAGGACAAGGGCAGCAGACATATGGGAACACCACCACCTCCAAGTTACTTTCCAAATCACTCACCATCCTGACTTGGAAATATATTGCCGTTCCTTCACTGTCGCTGTTTGAAAATCCTGGAATTTCCTCCCTAATAGCATTGTGGTCAGCCCACAGCAGGAGGAATGCAGCGGTTCAAGAAGGCAGCTCTCCATCACCTTCTCAAGGGCAACTAGGGATGGGCAAGAAATGCTGGCTAGCCAGCGATGCCCACGTCCCATGAAATGAATAGGGAAAAAAAAAGCAGGGTTACAAGGATAGGGAAGAGGGATGGTTCTGGGTGGGATGCATTTTGGAGGGTTGATATGGACTCAATGGGCCGAATGGCCTGCTTCCACACTGTAGGGATTCTCTAGGAATCCTAATCGGTGCTGTAAGGTAGCAGTTGCTGCTGAATCTGGTTGAATAATGAAATAGGTGTGGTACCTTAGCTAAATGAGGACGAACAGCTTGAATAATAAACAGAATATGAAAGGGTTTATGAGCCAGTTTGAAAGGGCAAATCATCCTCCTGAAAACTGGAACTCCAGAATGCATTCGAGCAGATTTTAGAAAGGTGATGAGTGAGCTATTACAGGATAAATTGGCACAAAGGATTGTGAAGTTGCAATAGAATATTTCTAAAAGTAGCTCCTAAAGAATTGAATAACAATGTTGGATTAAAAATGAAGGAAGTTGAGTAATGTTTGTTTTGGCAGTAAATACGAATGTGGAATTTTGAAATGCAAACAAATTAGCCATGATCGTCTTGAATGGCAGAGCTGGCTCGATGGGCTGAATGGTCCACTCTGCTCTTATTTCATATGTTCATGTCTGTATAAAAGAAAAGATGGTAGAACCAATCAAAATTGAAGATGACCTTTGGGCGATATAATATGGAAAAAAGAGTATCTTGAGAATAAAACACAAACATTTAAAAAACATGAAAAGGAATATGCCTGAAACGAGAAGATTTTCCGTTTGTGGGTGATCAAAATTGTTGAAGGCATTTGATATACAACATTTAGTATTTACTAAACAGAAAGATACTGGACAAAAAGTGACAGTGAACTGAGAAGTATCATAATGGATTTTTTTCTAAATGGTTATTAACCTTGAGGAAGATCAAAAGAACCAGATAGGATTCATTTGATAATCATAATGAAAGAAATTGCACAGCCCTAGGTAAATATTTTTTTTGCATCATCCTATTCAGAAATATTATTGCACACCAGTCCCAGGTGGGACTCGAACTTGGGTTTCCTGGCTGAAAAGTAGGGCCACAACCACTGCACCACAAAAGCCCCAGATATTCATTGTTGTGATTGTGGATACATGTTGGAGGGTTGGACAGTACCAAATTAAGACAAAAAAAATCAATTATCTGACGTAATGCGGGTAATTTCAAGTCTGATATCTGAACATTTGTACTTGGAATAATTATAACACTTTTTAATTGAAGTTAAAACTGTGTACCCTGATGAAAAGAAAATAGCTACTGGTACAGATTTCTAAAGGGATAATCATGCTTGACATACATTATAATGTTCTTTATCATAACAATAAATGTTAACTGGAGGAAGTGCAATAAATATCATGCATATAAGTTGGTTGGACAACTGTACTCTTGTCGTGCGCAGTACCTCGTGAATTTACTAAGATATGCCGTACTAATCCTGTATTACATGAACCAGTGGTAAATATACCTTCTAGAATTTAAGCATTGTCTGAATAATTTTCGAAATTGTGGTCAGTTCTGTGAAATGCCAAATATAATACATGTTGAAATGCGGTACACTTGTGTGTGGAGCTGGAGGGGCACAGCAGGCCAGGCAGCTTCAGAGGAGCAGGAAAGTTGACGTTTTGGGTCAGGACCCTTCTTCAGAAATGGGGAAGGGGGAAGGGAGCTCTGAAGTAAATAGAGAGAGGAGGGGTGGGGCTGGGGAAGGTAGGTGGGATGGTGATAGGTGAGTGCAGGTAGGCAGTGATGGGAATTGGTCAGTGAGGTGAGAGGAGTGGATAGGTGGGAGAGAAGACGGACGGGTTGTGTCAGGTCAAGGAGGTGGGGATGAGAGGGAGGTAGGGAGATTTTGAAACTGGTAAAGTCCATATTGACACCATTGGGTTGTAGGCCCCCAAGGCGGCATATGAGGTGCTGCTCCTCCAGTTTGCGGGTGGTGTCATTGTGACACTGGAGGAGGCCTAGGATGGACATGTCACCGAGGGAGTGGGAGGGGGAGTTGAAATGGTTTGTGACTGGAAGGTGGGGGGGCTGGATGAACACAGCAGGCCAAGCAGCATCATAGGAGCAGTGAGGCTGACGTTTCGGGCCTAGACCCTTCA